AAGAAGAAAGTCTTCATTTTGTCTGTCACTGTAAAATCTGATGGGCAATAGGAGAGCAGTTCTGAATTAAATGAAAATATGAAGACCTATTTGGGAGCCAGGCACAAAAGAAGGAATGGTTGGACTTAGTGTGGACAATATTTTCTAAGTATTCAAATTAATATGAAACATTACTTTAATTCTCATACTTAATTTTTTCAGAAAGAAAAATATCTCAAAATCCATCGCAAAATAATTTTCAAACATCTCTAATGATGACTGCAGATACTTTATTTGCTGGGGGCATAAGATGAAAATGTCAGCCTTTAGAACTCAGGATAAAACTGTTATTTTCCAATGTAGCAGAGAATTTAAAAAGGCAATAAATCTAAGCCAGTGCAAGTTCCACTAGTACAGCAAAGTTATCATTGTCAGATACTAAACAGAAACACAAGAAATGCTGATTAATTCAATCATGATTGTGCATTAGATTTTCTTATTTGATTGCATTAATTTTAGCAATGATAATTCTGAAAGCAATTACAGTGTTTAGTATTCTGTTTAAAATTTCAGCCAATTGAGTCTTTGCAAAAGTTCTTGGTGTTCTGGATTCTCACTGCTATTACCTCAGCTGCTCTACAACCTCCAACTAGCATCAACTATGACTATAATCCTCTACTGGAACTTGCTTAAAGCATACACTTTGCAATTCTCCAGGGTATCTATTAGCCACACCAAGAACTATTTAATATTGGAGTTGCAATTTCAAATTGCCACACAAACACAAAAAAATACTAATTCATCTTCCAAGAATCACAGCACTGAAAAGTTTTTATGCAGTGACAGAAAAGTTTCTAGTACGGTAACTCAAAAATGAAAAGCTATGAAACAGGTTTTTCACATTGACCACTTAGGTGCCTTACAATCTAGGAACCCCAACACAATTACAGCTACCCATATCCTCCTTCATTTTTCTTTCTCTCTCCTTTCTGACTAGGGAGTTCTTTCTTTCTTTGGTCTTTTCCCCCTTGCCCTTCTCTTCTTTCTCCTTTCATGGTAGAGTCTTTCCTTTCATTTCCTTTCCTTTCCTCCTTCTTTCCTCCCTCCCTCCCTCCTTCCCCATCTATTGCCTGGTTAACCTCTCAGCCCATTTTTTCTAGCCAAGCCTTGCCTCTCTGATTCACCTGCACAAAAATCCACCTGCTTCTCCCATACTAAATTGAGCATGCGAGATAGTGGTGGTTCCCAGAAGGTGGTGCTAGTCTGACTGGCTTTGAGGTGACTAGGCTCCTTTGTTGCCAAAAGACACAGTAGGCTAAGCCAAGGGGAGTGGGAGTTGCCAGAATACAGAAGCAAACAAGCCCTCAAAATGGGAGTCAGTTACTGCCTAAGTTTCTGAAGTGGCTGGATTATTGTTTTATGCATACACAAATAAATAAATAAATAAATCTCTGTTACTAAGATAAGCCTTCTTGTCCTAAAATAGGGAACAAATAAAAAGCATATAAAGGAAATATGTCAACTGGATCAGCATATGTTTGAGGCAAAGCTTTCAGACCTCCCCAATTACTGAACCATAGAACTGATTACGGTGAAATTGACCTCAATTGTTTAGGATATAAAAGTGATGCTGGCACAATTTCACAATTCCTGAAACAGAAAAGGTAGTACTAGGAATAATAAATGCAACTAAAACTCCACACAGTCAAAGAACTGGTTTTAGATAATATTCTAAGATTTTGCTACTAAAATAAGAAGGAGCAAACAAAATATCCTGTGTCAACGCTGTAAACATTAGATGTTCCCGCTCTGACAACTGATGAAAATTGCAGCTATTTCCGCTTTGGTTTTAACATGCTTTTTCTTCTATTTAGAAATCAGGTGCAGAAGGGGGTTGGGATGAATGCTTGAGCTCAGCTAGCCATAATAATAACGCTGCTCTGTGGGAACTTAAGGACGAACTGATAACAGTTTGATGGGCTGAGGAGCTGGAGAGACAGCCTACGTTTCAGGCTAATTGGAGAAAGTGATTTATGACTGCTTATTGGGGGTGGGAATTGCAATTTGTTACTTTGTATCCAGGGGGAGAAGGGAATTTAGTATTGGGTTCAACTATGTAGTGCCGATACTTTGTTTCCTGAATAAAATGTTCTTTAAGGAAGAATTCTTGCCTTGAAGTTCTTTTGATGGGTTTCATCTATCGGAACCATAACATCCTGCACTGATTAACTATACATTCACAATATGAATATGGTTGGAAGATAACAACAGATACTCATTGTGAATATCCTATTACCTTGATATAATTCATTTCATTTCATTAATTTTTATTATCCTTGATTACCATCTAGTATCACTTGGTGCTAGTCGGCATATAAATTTAATTAATAAAATAAATAGTTTGTCTGAATTTTTAAAAAATCCTCAAGAAATGCTACACTGTCAAACAGAAAAATGTTGTGGATGCAGTGATGATATCTTTATTCATAAACTGTTATTTCTGAATGAAGCTACCCCAACTGCTGCTTCATTTATTCAATGGATCATACTTCCTTCAGTGAATACAATGTTTTAAATTATTTCATGGTGGATGCTGTCTACAGAAAATAGACCTTATTTACCTTAGTTATTGATTCTGACATCTTGGCATGCTGAAAACTACTGATGCAAAATGCTAAGTGTAGGAAACTAAACTTCAATAACCAAACATCATTCAGTGTCAGCTGCACCCAAATAAAACTTGCACAATGAATGGAAACACTGTGGTGTATTTATATTCATGTATAGACAGATGCTTAGATATAGACACATATAGACCTGTCAATTTAAATTGAGTAGATTTTTTTTCCTGTCCAAAAGGAAGGATTTTTAAATCATTTTCATCTTGTCATCTTTTTATATTTTTTATTAAATTTGTTTGTCACCCATCTCGTTGCAAGGCGACTTTTCAAATATCCATTTTCAGAGGGATGTGGAAATTATTCCTGTTTGCTGAATGCTGTTTTGCCGACGAGTTGAAAAAAGTAAAAACACGGCATGTCCTTGGATGGTGAAAGTGCTTTTATCTGATGTACATTAATATTGGATTCTCACTACAGACTTTTTTCATTTTTTAATTTGCAAAATATTTGGGGTTTATTTTTTAAAAATTTTCTTTTAATATTGAATCAAAATATCCAGAAAATATCTTTCCTGGGTTTTTTTCTGCTTAGCGTTCTTTGTTTCCTAGCTAAGTTACATAGAGCAACAATATATTCAGATTATTGACAAGCAAGTATGGCTGATGTCCAGAAAAGACCTTTTGATAACATGCAACCTTTAGTTGAAAACTAAATACGTATATGTAGGAATGTGGGTCTACTCTATACATACGTTGTTCATAGTATGTTTAGGTGTGCGTCATGTATGTGTTTCACTTTGAGAATGGGCAACTACATTTCATTTTTGATATGTGCCGTTGTGCCCACAGTTTAAAAAAAATAACAATAAAGGTTATCTTATCTTATCTTATCAGACCCATTGGAAAGTCTGGAAAGAGATATGGAGTGTACAGATGTAGAATCAACTGAGCTGCTTCCATACACCTCTCTGAAGTTCAAGCCTGCATTCTTTTACAATAGCAGAAGTCTGTCTGAATGGAGAAATGATAAACTGGTTTTTCCTAGGAGGACTCTTAACTCTTGGGATGATTTGGGATGCCATGGTAAATTTTCTACAAGTTGATTATAATAACAATTTGTTAACAGAGGTTTTTGAAGCTTTAACCTTGTCTTTTTTATTATTGTTGTTCTTCCTGCTAACTATTTTGTCATTAATATAATGGATTATAGATCAATAATTTGCAAATAGATTTAGTAGTTTAATTTTTTTTTTCTGGCCCTGTTTCACAAGGGGTGGGAAACCAATATTGTAGTTAATGTATTAATCAGTATTCAATTAGGAGGGATAATGCATTTTTAATGCATCATTTTGTAACGTCTTGTTTGTTTTGCGTTTTTTTATTTGATTTTTTAAAATTTGTTGGAGTTTTCAATTTTAATTTTTTTCCCAAATAAAATAGAGTCTTAAAAAAAGAAAATTGCTGAATATTAGGTGGCAGATAAGACACCCTTTTTAGTGAAAAATGAGGGAGCCATTTTGTTTGTTCTCTAAGGCAAAACATTCCACTGGATTTATTTTGTTCTGAGCTTGAAATATTGCTATATTATCATATCAGATACTCTCTGTGAAAGTTTTTCTACCTCTAATTATTGCAGTTAGAACTGTGTGTGTCAATGTCTTTTAATAAAAAAGCTTCAATCTTTCATATAATAGAAAATATGCAGCAGACATAGGAGTAGAAAAATTACTTAATATCAATGTGAAAACAAAGCCAAACTTGGTAAACTTTTTTTAAAGAAAAGATTTCCTGAAACATTACAAAATGCAACTTAATTTTGAGAAATTATGTGTTTCTGACTATTAAATGAATGAGTGGAAGTGAAATAAAAATCAGAGAAAACAGAGGTTTTGAATTTACCTTTCTTCTTTATGAAGTTTTTCATATGTGTCACAAAGAATTACAGATATTTTCTACTTGTCCCTAAAAATTCGAACTCATTTTAAACAAACATTACTTTCAGCCAACCCTAAATCAACACTGATGAATAAAAACTTAATTGTAAGCACATCCTTACAACTTTTTCTTACAACTAATAGACAAGTATCCCTAAGTCACGAGTCAATATAGATTTTAAGTAGCCTGGGTTTTCTTCAATTCTAAGTGAAAAAAAAAATATCTCCAAAGTCACAATGATTATACCCTACTCCTCCACATAATCAGAAATAATATCCTTTTTTTTTAAAGATACCAAGTATCATACTTCCAACTTGGCCTAAAGCTAACAGCAAAAATAATTGATCCTCAATGGAATTATAATGGGAAATTTTAAAAAATGCCGAGAAAGGGAGGCAATACAATATTTGATTAATAAACATTCAGAAATTAACATTTGTTAGGAAAAGGAAAATGTTATAAATACCTGGGGAGATGACGGATTAAAAGCCACATTGATTACAGATTCAGTGTGTCCTGTCAGTTTATAAGAATAGGTGCTGGAATGCTTCTCATATATATAAGCCTGAAAAAGAATACATATTTAAAGTTGGCAATAGCCCATCAAGGAGCAAAAGTTTTTTATTTTAAATACCTCTTCACAAAATGTACACTTATCAAAATTCCAGGTCTTCATAAGATAAAATGGAACCCACAATCCAATTGTTGCCTTTGCTCAAAAGCATTGGGGGAAGAGCTAAAAAAAAAGGTTAAATCTGACTTAATTTTTTACATTTGTTCACACATACCTGAAAAATGTATGTTTTGATCATACAGTCACAGCCACAACTTGACTTTTTTAAACCCACTCTGGATTCACCTGCTATTAATGCTACACTCTACTGCTTGATTGCAGCCAAGGCAGGCACTAATGCAGTGGGCCTTGATTTGCTAGTTGCTGTTATTCATTTGCATTAACTATGAGAACTTTAAGGTGAGCATAAGTCCTAGAGACTTAGAAGCAGGGCTTTGTTTTTCATAGAACGCCCAGAACAGAGTTCCGGCACCTTTTTGGGATGGAACTTTGTAGGGTAGGCAAGGTGGGTTGTATGACGTGTGTGAGTTCCGGCCCTTTTTTTTTTTTTTTAGAGAAAAAGCACTGCTTAGAAGATATAGAAATAAAGATTCCCAATGTGCTACTGGAATAACCTTTCACCCACAGAGGTATATTGATTCTTTTAAAACCACTTAAAACCCTTAAAAAGAGATGTTGCCTGCAGAGACAAGGTTCATGCCATCCTATAGTCTATGGAAATATTCCCAGAGTACATAGATTTGCCTTCTCCAAAAATTATACACTTATTCATTTTGAATACAAAATGAATTTACAAAATCTATTTTGATCACATTTTTATTATTGCTTATAGCAGACCCATATCTTGTATTTAATATTACCAATGAGAACCAGTTCTGTGTAGCAGTTTAAGGTGTGAAGCTAGAAACTAGGAGACAATCAGTCCAAGTCTTGCCTTAGCTACAAAGCCAACTAGGAGCTTTGGACCAGATGCTCTTTCTCAGCCCTTAATAAACAAGGTAATGGCAAGCCACTTCCAAAAAATGTTGCCAAGAAAACTACAAGGACTTGTCCCAGCAGTCACCAAGAGCCATAAATGACTTAAAGGTACTGAAAAAAAAATCACCAATTGATATTACTATTAATAGTATCATATGTCTAGTACTATTTAATACTGCTCATATTAATATTTTAATACCTCAACTACTTTCAGAAACATGAATCTATTTTTCAGACATGATTTTACAAATAATATCAAAGTACTTTTAAATAATTAAAATTATCTACACTTATCTATAATTTTTTTTGACTAAATGTGAAAATAAACTATTATTTGCATCCAGATTATATGAACAATTGGAAAATGAGAAGCTGTGTATATGTTAGCTGCTGGACTAGTGTATATTTTGTGACTTATCTGTGCCCTCAGTGTCACCTGAATAATGTAAATGGGTGTGGAACCTTCTTGGAATGGCTGAAAGGTCTGTGTTGTAAACAGGAGATAGGTGGTGTCGTATTCCTCTCCCTCTATTGAGAGAGGGCTGTTCATTCTTAATGTAGATTAGGGGTGTCCAACTCGCCACGTCATGTGATGTGTCGCGACATATCGTGACTTTCCCCCCATTGCCGGAGCTGGGGTGGTCGCAGTTTTGGCATGACGCATCCGGCCCGCAGGTCGGCAGTTTGACACCCGTGATATAGATTGTCTCTTTGACCCCTCTTTCAAACCAGCGGTCCTTTCTGTCCAGAATGTGGACTTTACCATCTTCAAAAGAGTGACCCTTATCTTTCAAATGCAGATGGACTGCTAAGTCTTGTCCTGATGGGTTTGTTCTCCTACAATGTGCCATGTGTTTGTGGAGTGGTTGTTTTGTTTCTCTGATGTACAGTTCTATACATGATCATAACACAATCCTTTTAGCAGTTCCAAGAAGTTTCACACCCATTTGCACTATTCAGATGACCCTGAGGACACAACTAAACCTTCAAGTGACCTCAACAACTCTCAGAAAGAGTGCTAATTAACAAGCAGATGACAGCAAGGAATATAAATCCTTCCATCCTCCATCATTCAGTCAGAACTGAAGAAGCTTCTTGGATGAGAAGCAAAATGTCTTCAAAGAAAAAAACGAAGTCCAGTTACCTTTTGAAAAAGCACTTTTGGGACATGCACTCGTCTAGTTAGGTGGTCTTAGGTAGTGGTTATGACAGTTGTGAGAAGTTTCTTAAAGATCACAGATTAAACACGAGCTAGCAAAATGTTGCAATTGCCAAAAGATTCAAAGCAGTTTTGGGCTGCACTAAGAACAGTCAAGATCACAGGGAGTGTTAGTACTGTGTGTTTTTTTCCCTGGCCCGACTGCATCTGAAAGACCTATTGCCATACACAAATAAATAAATGTGCCCAGTTCTGGTCACCACAAATATAAAAAGCACAATGAGAACTTGAACAGCCTGCATCCTGAAGTCATGGGCACTTCATCACTGGGATCTTTCAAGAAAGGATTTGACAGTCATTTTGTGGCATGCTATGGGTATTCTTGCATAGGCAGAAGATTGGTTTAGAATCCTATGATTCCATTCTTGCTTCATACTACACCTACATTTCTATTACTTATCCCCATTATGTATTTATTTCAATAAGGCATCATTTAAAAATATGCAAAGAAAAGTATTGGGTGTACCTTTTTTGGAACAGCCTTTTTTCCCTCTCAAATATTTCCATATTATTTTCAATAATCCCTATGATGTTTCAAGAACTGTATCAGCACAATCTATTTACATTTTATATTCTATGTTCAAACATTAGTAAATCTTTTAACCGAAAATGTGTAGCCTTATTTCAAGAAAAAATCCTCAAACTATGTGAACTATTCAACCACAGAAAAACCTGGCCTTTTTAAAAAGAAGACACATAGGAATGTTTCTAATGTCCTGTTTCTGTTGTCATAAATTAAAGGGGAAAAAAGTCAGAAAAGGCTTCAACTAGTTTCCTCTGGTCTGTACCAAATAGCGAGATCAATTGGTTCATACTGGCACCCAGCTGGGGCCATAAGAAGGTACATATTGTACTTGCTGCCATTTTCATTTTGTCTAACTTGGTATATTTGCTGTTATTTTATTTATTGTCTTCTTCATTTTTTTAAAAAAAATTACTACTCTGTAATTTTAATTTGTTATATAATAACTATTATACGAATAACATAATTCATTCCATTGGGCAGAATCTTAAAATCTGAGTCCAACTCTCATAACAAACCGAGACTGCAGAGTAATCCCCATTTAAAAATGGCTGGAAAAATCTCTTTGGAGAGAATTTACAATGAAAATCAGTTTAGTGCTAGTCAGGTAATATATATAATGGCTTCCTTAAAAACTTTGAAGCACTGCAAAAGGAAAATAACTTGACAATGAGACAAATAAATGGCAACATGAACAGTTAAAATACTTATTAGTCATATTATTTGGGTAGAAGAGACCAAGACATCAATTCCATGGGGAAGGCTAGGGTTATTTTGATTGGGACTGGCTTTAATAACAGAGCCTTATAACTCTGATTATGCTGTACTCCCTCTTCCTCTTTATAGTCTAGTGAATCAAAAAGGTGTCTGCTTGAGCAGCCTCCAAATATTACCTTGTTTCTCAGGACTTAAAAAATGGTGCAGCCTCTTTTGTCAAGTCAACAGTTCTTGAGAGGTCCTTGTGCTCTCTGACCTCTTAGTTGTCTTCTTGCAGACTTTTCATTACCCAAACAAGAAGACATCATCAGTGTAACAACCTGCCTCCAGAAGCGGTGAATGCGCCAACACTGGAAGTTTTTAAGAAGAAACTGGACAGCCATTTGTCCGAAATGGTATAGGGTTTCCTGCCTGAGCAGGGGGTTGGACTAGATGACCTCCAAGGTCCCTTCCAACTTTATCATTATCATCATCATCATCATCATCATCATCATCATCATCAGTGTACCCTCATTTCAATCCCAGCTACAAATATTCTCCCTTATTGGCAACAGTTTTATATATTCCTATCAAGGTTATCTTTCTTACTGTCTACAGGGGCCTTCACAGTTTCCAGAATCTGGGGAAACCCTTGTGTATTGAAGAAAGCTTGATGGACATCAATTAGCAATTTATTATCACGAATGTTTGAACAACATTACAAAAACCCATTTCAATTATACATAATAAATATGGAATGAAGAATTGGAATAGTCTACTCTTGGAAGAAAGTTTAAAGTTCAGAGTCGTCGATGTGTTGCTATTGCACATATTTAGAATTTCAAGTTATGGAGAACTTTGAATAAACAGTGCCCATACTGTTGAGAATAACTGATTATAGGCACAAAAGCTGGCTGGGTAATTTTGGGCCAGTAACTCTCTCTCAGCCCAACTTATTTCAGAGTTGTTATGGGGAAAATAGACGGAGGAAGGAGTATTCGTTATGTTCCCCACATTGAGCTATTTATAAAAAATAGTACAGATGACATAAAATAAAACCAATAAATGAATAAGCTCCTGGAAAGATGTTTGTACACCAGATTATAATGATGGTTATATGAAATTTGGAATACCATATATTATCAAAAGTAAGCTACTATACATACACATTTATCTTCAGATCCACAAGCGATGAACTGGCCACAAGGAGAAACACTAATTCCACATGGATGACAACGGCTATTATGACCTTCAAATCGGCGCTCGCATCTGCAGAAATTCAATAAATTTAAGTACTATGAATTTTAAAATAATTGCTTCTAAACTTACTCATTTTTTTCAATGAAGTACATATTCTATTTATCTTTGCCTTACAATCGACATCCAACACTCTGAGGTAAGATGGGCAGCCAATAAATTTAATGAATGAATGAATGAATGAATGGAATGGAATTGAATATGATATATCATAACATGCTCTGATTGCTTAAAACTAGGAGAGTTTAAGAAGAGTTTACAAAATACTTAAACTCTCTTATTTAAATAGATTTTTAAAATGAAAATATTAAATTTTATAAAGGTATGTATACACATAATAACAAATATATAAACTATAAAATTATTAGAAGACATATATAGGCAGAAAAGTTGCATTCATCTTAAGAATCTCAAGGAAATAGTATCTGCCTCAAATTTAGTTAGATTTGCAGTGCTAGATGCAGAGTTGACTTTTTATATTATTAGGACTATTCCACTATTTCTATATGTTCAGTTTGCTGTTCTCTGGGCATTATACCTGTTGTGATTAGGAAGGGAAGTTCAATAATCAGCTTATGTTTCCAAATATTTTGTGGTGTTGATTTACTTAGTTCTAGTATATTTTTTCAATATTTAATTTTTTAGTATGTGTAGGTAAGAAGGATTTTACACGACACTGCAGTGGTACATGAGAGAATGTATGTTTAGTCATATATGTACATGAGTGCATTCAAGAAATGTAAATTAGAATATGGGCACTGTTCCTAATTTAGCTAAAAATGGACAATTGACATGACAATCTATGATTTTCTTTTCTCAGATTTGATGAATGAGTTGTAAGGATTTGGTATCTTTCGTTGAATACATGCATCAGTTTATTTTCCAATATCGTTTTTAGTTTCTTATACAGGTTCAGAAATTTTTCAACACTGTTCTACATGATGTTTTTAAGACATACATTTAAGAAACATTAGTTAACAGCCATGATGCAATGGGATGTATCTATGAAGGGGAAAGTGGTGTGATGGATTTCAGTAATGCAGCAGTTTCTCAGGAAGGAGGGAAGACATTCCAAGGAAGGGAGGGTGAGACAAGAGACAACACAGTTTGGAGCTGGATCATGGAGGGAGGAAGAGATTTAACATAACCATTCCCTAAAATCTCCCAGGGTATATTCATAGGTTAGGGTAGTATAGGTTTAGTCTCCAAGATTCTGTCTATATGGCATAAGCAAATAAAGAACTGAACTTTGGCTGGATTGTTCTGTTCTTCTCAGTTGAAGCCTGACACAACAGGCTAAATAGTTACTTAGAAAACTGTCTTTAACAACAATAATTTAATACAGGAAACATCCTTGAGACCAGTCTGACTACAATCTTTCTGGCAATAATATGGAAGCCATTTGCCACTATCTTTTTCCAAGTCCTTCTGGTCTACCCTATAGTCCTGTGATTTTCTAGTGGCTGCCTATCCAAGAGCTAATCACTTTCTACCCTGCTTAGCTTTTCTGAGATTAGTCAAGAAAAGCCCTGCTCCCATCTATTTCCGCAAGCAATTGTTTATCTCGAAAGAAATGTGCAAGGGGCTTTCCACTGGGTATTTTTACAGGCATTATTCTCAGGCATTATTATGTGCTGCAGAACATATTCAACAAATCGTCTGGATAAAACAAAGGAAATAAATATTCCTACTACTAAACAGTTGGGCATTCCATAACTGAGTACAATATCTTCCTTGTTTTATTTCTGAAAGAGATGGAAGTCAAAGCAAAACCTCACTCACATATTGTCTCTTTGATTAATAGATAAGAATTTGTTACATTGTAGTAATAGCTAATTTGTTAACTCTTGGAGGTCTCAGATTTATGTATGAGAATGGTGGTTCCTGGTTTATGGAAATATAAACCCATTTCATCTGTTCCCAAGGCCTAAAATAAATCCCAAGCCTTGTAGATCTTATTTGTTAAGAAATAGTTTATCTAAGCTGCTTTTAAAATTTGGCTGGAAAACAAATAAAAATCTTTACACATCAGTCAACTTTTTACAGTGGAAGCATAATATAATATACAATTATGAAATTCAAGCTAATAGTTCTCATAATATACAATTATGAAATCCAGACTCATATATCTCTGTGGATAAACATTCATGGATCAAGATGTTCATAGATCATGAAGGACATGTATTTTCCTCTCTTCTGACTTAACATAGGAGCAATCAATAATTAAAATGCCACGTACTGCTGAAAGCAAAAATACTTACAAATGATTCGAAGAAATCAGCTTACTGGTGGTATTCTATGTAATTAAATCTTTGTCATGTAACGTTTAGGTGCTACAAGAAAGGCTGGGATACCTGGCATGTAATATTAATGTTAATATTCTTCACATGAAGTCTATAAGCAGGAAATAGGCAGAAAATGCCTGAACTGATATCTGGAGAGTCTAAAGCAGTGTTTCTCAACCTTGACAATTTTAAGGCATGTGGACTTCAACTCCCAGAATTCCACAGCCAGCATTGCTGGCTGTGGAATTCTGGGAATTGAAGTCCACATGCCTTAAAATTGTCAAGGTTGAGAAACACTGGTCTAAAGCAAAGCAGCTTGCCAATGTCTCTATGCTCTTTACATTACAAATTGCTCCAATATATGTTGAGAAATAGATGACCAACTTTATTTCACTAATAATTTCTTTAAACTCTTTAATGACTTGCCTGATTTTTCTTTACAAAAATTATGCTTCTGAAAAATTTATTGCCACTTAGTTACTGCACTTGTATCCCATCATTCCATCAACAAATAGTCCTCACTGTGGCTCATTAGAGAAAGTTTACATTTGTAAAATGTGAACTCAGAAGTAATTTCAGTAACAGCAGAAGGTACCCCTAACTGTGGCAACACAGACAGAATGACTTCTTTTGCCATTTTAAAAGTATGAATTGGCTCATAAGGGAGAATAGGATCTTTCAAATAAATTAGGGCCAAGTTATATATAACTATAGATCATAACCAACACTTTTTCCAGGAACAGACTGCCAGCAATGGAAGGGTATTAAGAAAGGAATTGCATATTCCTTTTAATCAGTTCTAGACATCAGTCTGGCTGCAGCATTTTCTCTTTTCTGTTTCTGAGTACTTTTCTCAGACTGTGTTATGGTAGTCCTAAGAGCATTTTACAATAGCATGTGTCATCGTGGCCAAATCTGACATCTCCAGGAATGCATAGAATTGGTCACCATCCTTAACTGTGCCAACACATTTCTAGACACCACAAAAACCTAGGTATCCAGCTTCATTAGTGAATCTGAAAAGACCAACAAGCTCTGAGTTTTCACAGATAAAATTACCCTTTCCAGCACAACTTGAAGCACCTTTGTATTATCCTGACTGAGTTTCTCCCAGTATGATCTTCTGAATCTTCACTCTAAGAACTGGTGTCTCACTGCTATGCTCAGACCATAAGCTTGATTCTACTGTACAGTAGTCCTTATTTAGCAACCACCACTTAGACTGGCAACTCAGCCAATAAGTAAAGTGGTGATTAAGTGAAATTGAGATCATAGACTCACGAAGGTCATAAATGCGAGGACTGGCTGTAAGGTTACCTTTTCATTACCATCCTAACTGAAAAGTGATTGACATTGAAGAATATTATCTTCTTCATATAATTCTGGTAATCTGGAGAAAATTGTGCTTCTACAGCTTCACTACTAGAACTTTTGATCCAAGGACTGTGGTATAATTCCATAAATGGAGTAGGTGCTGGTAAATACTATTTTTTATATAAAGAATAATACATAATTTGGAACTCAAATTTTAAAATTTCCACTAATTTGTCTTACTAGTCTTAGTATTAGAGCCAAAATGGACAGGACCATCTATGGTATCAGCCCCACAAAGTCAGCTGCAGCTGAGATCATAGCACCCTATCATGATGTTAAATCAGACTAGTCAATAGCACTTATAGGAACAATACAGACTAGAGGAAATATAAATAGAAGGGAGAAAAAGAAGGGGAGGGAAATCAAAGGCTCTAGACGTAACCAACAAGTACAGCCTATTATACTATATAATTTAGGATTGCAATATAGAGAAACTACTCATACAGATTGTATTTTAATTATTTTACCATTCCCTGTCGAATCTTAATGTTTTAAAATGAGGCTGCAAGTAAGTAACCTGTTAAAAAAATTAACTTTTTACTATTCATGAATAGTAGTTAAACCAATTGATAGAAAAAACATAAGGATATAATATAGTTAACCTTTTTTCCTAAATATTTCCTTTCACTATATTTAGACATTTGCTAGGAATAATGAGCCATTATTGTTTCAAAAAATGTGCTAATTCCAATTTCAAAGGTAAGCTTCTGTTGTTGTTTTTATAGAGTTGCCTCCAACTTCTTCCAGACTAATTTTTTTCCAAAACATTTGACTTGGACATTTAATGATTTACAAAGATCTCCCATGTGTGCTTTTCTGTACTGCTTCTGTAGTTTGTAACCCTATACTGAAATGTTTTTCAGTTCAGACAATTGTACACTTTTTAAGAATTAAAAAAGTACATTCCGATTTGTTAA